AGACGGAAGAAGAACCAGTAGCGACCATGGCATCCCAAACACTCCTGGGCGTCCTGACGGTGGCGATGATGGGGGCTGTCTCCCAAGCAGCGCCTCCGCACCTCAACGGCTCGCTCCCCTTCGTCAGTAAGTCTCTTTGGGTGCCAGTAAGATGTCTTTAACATGGTTGGATGTTTTGGGAAACGAGTTTGTTGTTCGCTCCCGACTTTGGCATCTTTTTCCAACTGTATTTTGTCTCAATTCCAGTCGAGCCTCGCGTCAACTTCGACGACACGTGTAGGTGTGGACAGAAGGCCGCCTCCAGGATCGTGGGCGGGGTGACCACGGGCGTGAACGAGTGGCCGTGGCAAGCGGCGCTCATGTACGGCTCGCAGCAGTTCTGCGGCGGATCCCTCATCAACGACCGATACGTCCTCACCGCCGCCCATTGCACCGAAGTGAGTAAGGGAGTGGGAGGGAAGCAACTGAGCGAGTGACCAAGGACGAAGGAAGACTTTCAAAATCTTCCTCTTTCATAAAGATTATGGGGCTGTTTAGATAAAGCTACTCATAACAGTAATTGTGGCGGTGGTGATAATGGCCTTTGTTTGCAGAGCATGAGAGCGTCTGACCTGACCATCCGTCTGGCCGAACACAGGCTGAGCACTTCCTCAGAGACCAGTGTTGTGAGCAGGTCCGTGTCTCAGATCATCGAGCATCCGGACTATCAGCCGGGTAACGAGATTAACGACATCGCTCTCATCAAACTGTCGTCGCCAGTCCAGGTGAGCCACATTTCACTAGCGGTTCAAGCGATACAAATGGTGCACATACTTACCGCACTCTTTGAACGCGTTTCATCCATAGATTTGTTTGCTATTAAGAGAGAAGATTCAGTGCTACCGAGATGACATGTCTTATTTTCAGGTGAGCGACACAGTGTTGCCAGTGTGCATGCCGCCACCCAACCCCACATACGCCGGCAAGACAGCCACTGTCACAGGTTGGGGAACCACCAGCTCCGGAGGCTCGTCTTCAGACACACTCAGGGAAGTGGACGTCACGGTCAGTACACGAACACGGGTGCTTCAGTTAAACAGTGGATATGAGGTCACATTATAACGTAGTGTATTCTTCCCCGTTACGGACTAAAAGTTTTTTTCTGTGCAAAATAATGGCGATGACCTTTACAGCTAGACCATTAACTGCCTTCTTAACGTTGTTCACTGAGTGCAGGTGGTGGCCAACACCGCGTGTCAGTCCAACAGTTACGGAAGCGCCATTAAGGACACCATGTTGTGCGCCGGAAGCACAGGCAAGGACTCGTGCCAGGGAGACTCCGGCGGCCCTCTGGTGTTCAAGGACGGAGGCGGAAACTACGACCAGGTGAGTGGGCGAAGGCGCGCATGAATCGCTTGGTGGGGTCTCGCATGACTAACTAGACTTGTATATGCAATAAATAAAGGTAGATTCAGATGGAATTAAATCCATGAGTGTAAGTAGATTTGAAATGGTTTGCTGAGCGAAATCTGAAGAAAATATGGCATAGCTTGACCAATTTAATGCGATGTGCAAGCAGGATTAACAATAATCTGAGCATACCTTCTCGTGTTCTTGACTTGCGATTAACTTCCAACGCACACAGATCGGCGTGGTGAGCTGGGGCTATGGGTGCGGAGCCCGAGGCTACCCCGGCGTGTACACCCGCGTCAACAGCTACCTCGACTGGATCAAAGCCAACACAGGAGATGGTGTTTACTGCAGAGGAATGCGTCTGTAGTCTTGCCACTTCTACTCTGCCACGACCGCCAGTCCGGGTCGTGAGGAAGAAAGCGAACCGTCGATAACACCACCATCGAACATGAATTAAAGCCAAATCATGCACTAGACTCTGACATAAGACAATAAAGAATTTTCAAAATAAACACAATAGGTTTTTATCATTTCACTCTATGTATACATCATTTCAAAGGAAAAAGTCCATCACCATCGACAACGTGATTAATACGTAATGAGAAATTAAATAAGCAACATTTCTCTTTTTCATTCTGTCCTTTAAGAAATTGTAACTATGCATGAGCTATTTTCAAAGAAATTTCTTTTTCAGCTATCTTTCCCTACTCAATCAAATTAGACCATTCGTATTGGTACTTAAAAATCTAGATCGTTATTAGTTCACTTATTCTGACATGCGATGGCATAAGGACTGGGGTGCCATGAGTTTGGCAGTAAAGGAAATAACAGGCTATTTTAAAAGCTACCAAGCTTGAAAACGGTCTTAAAGGGGGAATGTCTATACTGAAATAAGCCGTACTTAGGGAGTGGGATATACTCATGATGCACAACAATGAAGGTATTCGTTTCAGGCTAATTCAAGAAAATAAATGAATGACAAATTAGAAATACTTTCGTATACTGATGCAAAACAGGGTGCTCATAGATCGGTGTATATGTATACATACAGACATTATATATATATACATATATATACACATATATACATTATATACATATATATATATACATTATATATATACATATACACATATATACATATATATACATTACATATACATTATATATACATATATATATGTATATATGCATATATCCACACACACTAGTTGCTCGAGCAGAAAATTGCTTTCTGGAGCATGAACAAGTGTGCAAAGAATACAGTAACTACAAAGAGTACAACATTTGACCAAAAATCCTTTTGTTTTTTATCCCATCTATAAAATTTCAATCCTGAAGTTTCATCTTGACACTTTGATTTCGTTTTCGCTGGAGAGGGACCACTACAGGGATATAATCGGCAGGCACTCGACTTGGCTTCGTTACGTAGATGAAGTCCCCGTCATTGTCCCCAGAAGGTCGTGTCTGCACCATACGCTGACGCGGCTGAACTCCGTCCACGAGAAAATCCAGTTCACCAAGGAGGAAGAAGAGGATCAGAAGTTACCTTTCCTGGACACTCTGATCCATCGGGGTGATGAAGACCTACGTTTCATACAGGAAGCCGACTAATAAAGTTGATTATATCCATTATTACTCCGCACACAGCAATAAAACGAAATCTGGTTGTGATTGGGTTCTTCCTCCGGGCACTGAGGATTTGCAGCCCTCAAGTTCCTTGAAAGTGAAGTTACCTATATAATTGATTCTTTCATGAAACACTGTGATGTCTTCTAATTTTCTCGTATTACCTCCATTTAATCTCTCCCAGGCGATCAGCAAATACTTTGGCAATACAATGAACATCGCCAGCACATCCGGGGAAGAGATACATGACCTAATACGACAAAAGAAACAACAGAAAAGCAACCCCAACAGTGCAGTATACCGCATACCCTGCAGCAGTTGCGATAAGGCATACTATGGTGAAACGGGACGTGGCTTCAACACCAGCATCTACGAACATCGCGCCGATGTCCGTCACCATAGAACTTCCAACGCCATGGTGGTTCATGTAGATGAAGCTGGACATCTACCGACCTGGAAAGAAGCTGAAATAATCCATGATGGATTAAGCAAATACAAAAGGAAGGTCATTGAAGCTGCATACATCGCGACAGAGAAAAATATGAACACCGCATCAGGTAGATTCAAACTATCCAAATTCGCGGCAGTTATTATGCTTACAACGAGCGCGAGGTCACGATCATCAGGTGATTCATCAGCTCCCATGTAATATAAAGCTGCTGTGTATTCTCCCACATGTAAGCTTCCAAGCTAGTACAGTGGTAACGTGCCGTCCTCTCATCCGAGGGGTCGGCGGTTCGCGCCCCGCTCAAGCGCGAGAAGTTGCAGTTGTCGCCCGGAGGTTACTGCTGTGGCTGGGCACCCCGGTGGGGTAAAAACTAAGCTCTGTCGCGTCAGCACTCGCTGACACATGTTGATCGAGTCGACATTTGTCGGCACAGGCCGGGCTTCCCCATAGCCCGGGCGAGGCTCAGCTTCGCATATCGGACTTATCCTTATCCTAAATGTATGTATTTCTGACGAAGATATAATCGAAACCGGTTAAATACATCTCTTGTACTGTGAAGATTTTCGTTCTTATTCATACCTTTCCACAATTGTCAACATGAATACGGTTCATATATATAAAAGTTGGAACGAAATCAAAGTGTCAAGATGAAACTTCAGTATTGAAATTTTATAGATGGGATAAAAAACAAAAGGAATATTGTTTGTGTACAAGGATCTTTGGTCAAATGGTGTACTCTTTGTAGTTACTGTATTCTTTGTACACTGGTTCATGTTCCAGAAAGCAATTTTCTGCTCGAGCAACTAGTGTGTGCGGATATATGTATATATAAAAAATGTATTATAATGTGTATATAATGTATATATGTATATATACTATATATGTATATATGTGTATATATGTATATAATATATATATATATATATATGTATATATATATATATATATATATAATATATATATATATATATAATGTATAATATATAATATGTATATATTATGTATATATATATATATATGTATATATAATGTATATATGTGTATATAGTGTATATATATGTATATGTGTGTATATATATATATATATATATATATATAATATATATATATATATATATATATATATAATGTCTGTATGTATACATATATACCGATCTGTGAGCACCCTGTTTTGCATCAGTATACGAAAGTATTTCTTTTGTCATTCATTTATTTTCTTGAATTAGCCTGAAACGAATACCTTCATTGTTGTGCATCATGAGTATATCCCACTCCCTAAGTACGGCTTATTTCAGTATAGACATTCACCCTTTAAGACCGTTTTCAAGCTTGGTAGCTTTTAAAATGGCCTGTTATTTCCTTTACTGCCAACTCATGCCAAACTTATGCCATCGCATGTCAGAATAAGTGAACTAATAATGATCTAGATTTCAGCAGGGCTAAAACGGATTTCATATTTCTAGCCACACAAAACAAGAAATTTTTCAATTTTTTCTAAGATTAAAGTACCAATGCAAAGGATCTAATTTGATCGAGTAGGGAAAGACAGCTAAAAAGGAAACTGAAAATAGTTCATGCTTAAAGCATGGTCACAATTTCTTAAAAGGTTGAATGAAAAAGAAAGATAAATGTTGCTTAATCACATTGTCGATGGTGATGGACATTTTCCTTTGAAATAATGTATGGATAAGCATTTACATACAATTAGAGTGAAAATGATAAATGACAATCTATTGTGTTTATTTTGAAAGTTCTTTATTGTCTTATGTCAGAGTCCAGTGCATGATTTGGCTTTAATTCATGCTCGATGGTGGTGTTATCGACGGTTCGCTTTCTTCCTCACGACCCGGACTGGCGGTCGTGGCAGAGTAGGAGTGGCAAGACTACAGACGCATTCCTCTGCAGTAAAACACCATCTCCTGTGTTGGCTTTGATCCAGTCGAGGTAGCTGTTGACGCGGGTGTACACGCCGGGGTAGCCTCGGGCTCCGCACCCATAGCCCCAGCTCACCACGCCGATCTGTGTGGGTTGGAAGTTAATCGCAAGTCAAGAGGACAAGAGGGTATGCTCAGATTATCAATCCTGCTTGCACATCGCATTGAATTGGTCAAGCTATGCCCTAATCTCTCAACAGATTTCGCTCAGCAAACCATTTCAAATCTACTTACACCTCATGGAATTAATTCCATCCGAATCTACCTTTATTTATTACACATGCAAGTCTAGTTAGTCATGCGGAGACCCCACCAAGCGATTCTGCGCAGGCCTTCGTTGTCGCCCACTCACCTATCTGGGTCACCCAACAACTGGTTTTTGGGTCCTGGGGTCAATGCCTTCGCACCACATCCTGGTAAACCCTGGGTTCCTTCGCCACTCACCT